GTAGAGCCAAGGTAAAAATAGGAATGATTGCTAAGAGATTCAGAAGACGCACGACCGCTACTGTCAGCGACACTCATTGATTTAAACCATGGTTTACGCTGATCCCAACGTCCCTATTTACGAAGCGTATCACGACCTATGTGAGCAAGTCTTCAGCCAGAACTTCTCAGGCCCCGTTTCAGTTTGACCACTCTGCTTTTTCCCACTGGTTATTTGCTTTTGAAAACATTGCACATAGTAGTAATCGATTTGATAGCATGCGTAACACATGTCCCGACCAATATTATCTATGGAAATCGACCACTTGTTCCAGTGACTACCAAGTGAAAACCAACGTCATTTTTTCACGCCAGAGGATTTGCTATTTTGCATTATGTAGCCCTAATATCAAAACGTCTGATTAATATTTCAATTTCACTTATATGTGACTCTTCAGTTTATTAGATGTTACGCATTACAGAAACTCTCTGATAACTACTTGAGACATCCGTGGAGCCCCCCCTCCCCCATTTCTGCTATACAGCGCAGAAACTTGCCCATTAAATAAACAGGATAAAGATAGAGCGTCGGTGTTCGAACATCGCTGTCTACGCAGCAATGCACGAATCTGATGAGGCAACCGGACAAGCAATGCTGCGGGTGGTCAAAATAGGACCTGATACGAGGGTATGAAAATCCCAACCAGGAGACCCCGTTATATAGGTCGCATTAGGCACCCTGGATGGGGACTCCGCGATCATGGTAACCGGTGGTTAGTGACACCGAGTGATATAGCTTCGTGTCGCAAACAATGGCGCTCGTGCATCAACTCATTATTCTTGCAACCCCAGTCTGTATGAATTCCCTATCTTCACTGTGATTCTGTTCTCAACACTCCAATGTTCATTGAGTTCTTTTATCCCAACGGGAAGCCAACACAGTAAAAAAACCTACGTATGACAATGCATGGTTAACGATTGTGAAAACTCAAACTGAAACTGTTCGGATATCCTAACCAAGTTTCAGTCACAGTAGCAGCATAATCGCACAGCAAAATATATTGAAGCAAACTTCGCTGATCTCTGTCAAGCTCACAATGTACACAAAGTAAGTGGTAATGCGTAGGGTGGACGGGGACTGCGTCTATTTTGAGAAAGAGCGGGTAGAAAGAGAACCTCTATGGGCAAGACATAAAGCATACAAAATAACTGTGCACACTTTTTAAACCGTTCTCGCCAAGTAAGAAGTGACCATTACTGTCGTTTCTTTGCCATATCCGTCAGTGTCTCCAAACAATTAGTTACGGAGTCTTTCGAACTTGAAAGATGGGAAACACCTGCTCTAGCTAAGCACCATGAGCATTTCTTCATTCTGTCTTCACGTGATTTCTTTCTACCTGGAGCCGCAACTGCAACTAAGGCGAGGTGCGGTAGATGATAAACTGGGAATGCACCGTACATGTACTAACCAACGAAGTAAACCAATCTGAATACGATGTGATTACGAATTCACCACCGGGCCATTACCAAATACTCGTCCGTTATGCTAAGCGCTGCTTACACGCTCGCTCAGTTAAACCCGTGTCAAACCACGCTACAATATGCTACAAACTAAAAATACTTTTGCGACGCCGATTGGAAGATAGCGGAGATATCCAATGAATTTGTTACCATATTAAAAAGAAACGAAGTCACAATAATCAAACCTACAGTTTAGGCGAAATTCTAAAAGCCACATGGTACATACTAGCATTGAAACGCTCGCACTATATTGTTATCTGAGTCACAAAAACAAGATAAACAATTTATTTTTAATCAAAATGATTCCATCTAACTTGATACTGAATAGATGGAACATAGGTTTCCACTGAATCACATCGTGACGGTTGCGCATCCTTGATCATTCACACGAATACGCACGCACGCAGTGTTTATAAATGCTGATTAAGGGTAGCATACCATTGTGACTCCAGTTGAAAAATCGAGCCTGGTAGTAAACAGTGGTATGTACCGCCCTTATGAATGTATACAACAGATCGATCGGACACTCTTGAGTGAACGCTTATCGACTAAGACAGATTCAATAATCCAACTCTATGGCAAAACCACCTACTCAGATTTCAATATACCACTGAAATCTTCTGGCACCGTAGCGCAGACCTATGTTACGTTGACGACTGGTCCGTTTCGAGGTAACCTTCAGTAAATTTAGGGTTTTCTGATGAAGTCAATCGAATCTTCTTAGAATGATGATGGGGGAAAGATCCATTTATTAGAAGAGATCATTTGCCTTATTTTGTACTAGTTATTTCCATACATTTCCAATTTCTATTCCTCCGCGCCAAAAAGGGGTTCCGAAAGCACCACCAGCCTCGTTCGTTCCCGATTGGTTCACATTAATGAGATTTTGAACTTTGCCGGTAATTAACAAGCTAGGCGATGGCTGGGTGTAAAAGTTTACATAAACAGGCGAATTTATCCTCAAAATTGTCTTTCAGTTGAGTTAAATACACAATCTCGTTTGTAGATTTGTCTTCAATCGTCCTCTGCTGTTCGGTTGGGCTCGGAACGATACTACACTCGGCGTTCCATCTTTCTCGCGGGTAGTCGTGCGTTTATTCTAGAACTGGGTCCATCGTGGTTTTCTATTCTAATCATTATTGTCTGTTCCGTGGGTCAACGAACATAAAACCAGCTTAACCATCATGTGCATTAGAACTACCGAACAATATTCTTCTTTCTTTTTCAACCTTTCGATCTGAAAGAGATTCCATGTCCGGAAACTCAACATCCTTACAGAGGGACCGGTATCGATAGTGCATTTTACCATTGTTCATGTTTGTGTATGTCGCCCGGTTCGATAACGCACCTAGCTTACCCATCCCACGCAACATTCAACTTAATTCCTATAACTGAACAGTAGATCTCTATGGTTCATTTTTTCAACTGTAAAAAACAGTGCAATGTACCAACCTTGTCCAGTAATTGACCTTCTACCTTCAGCTCCCAGCCAGGAGCCACATCCACCATCAAAAGTTGTCGATCGGGGCCGACTGTACCAGCTGGCATTCCCGGTTTGAAGATACTACTCAACATGACACGGAGCTTTCGCTTGACCTGTATGCGAATAAAGGTAACGAGGAATTAATTGAATAATCAAGAACCGATTACCTTCACGGGTCTTTTCATAGCTTCCTGTAGCGTGAGTCTTTTTCGCATTAGCACAAAATCCAGCTTTTTCTCGACCTCCAACAGTTCCATATAGGACTCAGACTCTGGGATAATCTCCCGCACAGTTTTACACAGAAGACGATCGGCCAAACGACGCTTCCGTTTTCTGAAAACACAAAAATCAATAACGGGTTAAGCTTGGATGAGCGAGTAGCAAGATCACCACGCCGAAACATTTCCTTTATATGTAAATAAGACTGTGATAAATTAACGCTATGCAACCTTGGCAATCACAACAACTAAATAATGCCAGACAGGCTCCGGAGCGGAACGACTTGGAGTCAAAGGTGTCCCAAATCCCACGGTAGTTAATCGATATTTCTTTTCCTTTTCCTTTTTACTTCCTGTTTTGAATATATAACGATACAACTTCCAGGAACAGGGAAACGATCAATCAGAAGGCTGTCATACCAAATGGGGAAAGCCAGATTGCGAAGGTCGGATTAGAACACATCCTCTGGAGCGATAATTCGGTGACATTTACCAGTCGCCACGATCGGTGAAATAGGATGAGGAAATCTAACTCAATCTGATAGTCCAGAGCGATAAGCTCACCTGTAGTTTTTACTGCCTTCATTGTGTTTCGAAACAAAGCAAGTAAAAGTGAGACAAATAACTGCAGAAAAACATCATAATCAACTGCTTTCCAATGGACACTTCAGACGACTTGTGAAAGATTCCAATGAAATTGATTTTATCTGATACGGGTGTCTGAAAAGCTAGCCCTCGTAATATAAATCCATTTCATCCTCACTAACATGGCAAAACAAAATGCAAAAATTTCAGCCAGAATTCAGTGGAGTGCACTAACAATGAAAATCGCCAAGTGACTTAGGTACGTGGGATTCCCATAGACTGCAAGGCATTTTATTTCCCGGTAGCCCTGACTGACGAAGACAGGCTTAGCGCTCTTACTGAAGCCTATCGTCAGAAAGTCACGTTTCAAAAGTAGCCGGACGAAAGAACTTTGAAACTTTATGGGCGGGTACTGCTAGGGAATACAACCACTAAGCAGCAAAACGATTAGGGTTCTCAATCAAAGCCTTTGATTATGACAAGAACCTAACCATAGGGCAGCGGTTGAGGCAGAATGGAGGCCCATAAACTTGGATCAATTACTCCTCCAGCAATTTCACCGACTGAGATGCCAATTTGAGTTAAACCCACAACCTGGAGGACCAGGAGACTGGGCTTGGTCTAACCTCCACCCTTTGACTTACCAGACAGGATTAGATCTTCGGCTTAACAAAAGCCATCCTGTGAGGCTCGTTGGGTCACAGAGGTGGAAAAGCTATCACATCACGTTAAGGTGAAGTCGGCGTGATGGTGGGCAAGAAACTAAAAACTAACTGTCAGAGATAAGGCAAATGACCTAACGTAAAAGCGATCAAGAACAGACAGATGAACCGCCACTTAACACTTTTATCGCACATATTTGTTCGATGAACAAAATACCGGGTGGACCCATACACTACGCACAGCACGCTTTTTACCAGGTTCATGGGCGAAGCTGAACCCAGATCCTTAAAAGCCAATCGATACGGCCGAAACCGGTCGGACGCCCTATACCCCATGATATGGTAAATCCCGGGAAAACTTCAGTTCAGGAGGGCTAATATCAACTAGCAACAGCAGTGGTTGTTGTCAGGTGTCCATGGGGCGAAATCATCATCATTATTGTACAGCGTAATACAGTGAAGCGAACTTCGCTGATCGCTGCCAAACTCATAATGCATACAATATAAGTGGTATTGTGTGAGGAGGATAGGGATTGGGCCTATTTTTAAGGACGGGAAAAGAAAGCGAACCTCCATGGTCAACACACAGAGTACACAGCGCAACTGTACATACATACTAGTTCAAGCATTCTGGACTGATAAGAAGTGACAGCATGATCGCCATTGCTGTCGGTTCGCAGTCATGATCTTCAGTGTCTCCAACCATGCGTTTCGGAGTCTTTTGAAATCCATCCCGGAAGACGAGAGACACCTACTTTACCTAATGGCTCTGTGCATTTCTTCATGTCTTCTCTCCACATTATCTGCTAGCCCCCATGCGGCTTTTTCCAGCTTGCAACAGCAACTGCAAACAAGACGCGCTGTGGTAGGCGACTGTCGGGCATACGCAAAACGTGTCCTAACCAACGGAGCCTATTGAGCTGGATTCGACGCACCAGCGAGTCCGTGTTCGATGCATTTCCAAATACCCGACGATACCAGCGAGAAGTTTAGAAGCAATGTTGAATAGACTAAATCCTCTGTGATTTGTACAAGAAGAGCTGTCACCTTTCTTGTAAATCGGTATGATGACCGATTCACACCATTCAGCTGGAACCTATTCCGTCTTCCACAGCCACTGCAAACAAGGCGCGCTGCGGTAGGCGACCGTCGGGCATACGCAAAACGTGTCCTAACCAACGGAGCCTACTGAGCTGGATGGGATGAGATAGCAGGTTTTGTCTGGTGTATTGCCTAACACCCGAAGACTTACTTCCAAGTTACTAACCCATTCACTCCATCCCACTTGAGCCAGACTACGTAAGCATCGATTGTCGAACACTGCTAAACGACGGGTGTCTTCTACCCGCAAATTCAAGGTCTCACAACCATAAAGCATAATCGATTGCACAGTGGCACAGAAGACGCGGCTTTTCAACTTTAATGAAACACCACGTCGTCGCCACAGGTGTTTTAACCCTGCGTACGCTGCTCGATTCTTGGAAATGCGGGCGGTTATCTCCTTCGATGCCCTGCCGTCGTTGGTCACGCAGCTACCTAAGTACGAGAAGCAGTCAACTTCATCTAATTCCTGACCGTCTAGTTTCCGAACGGAACTCGGCGACACCCAGCCTTGTGGCATCACTTTGCACTTTGAAGGTGCAAAGCACATGCCGAATGGAGCGACAGAACTTGATAATCTGTCAAGGGCTCTTTGTGCATCCTCCACACATTCGAACAAGCAAACGATGCCGTTAGCGTACTCCAAATTGTACACCTGTTCTCCAGCTGCCCATTCAATACTTACCTTTCGGAGACCACTTAGTGTGTTCTCCAGTATTTTGTCTATGACGAAACTGAATAGGAATGGCGAAAGTGGGCACCCTTGCCGAACACCGCTGCTAGTTATGAACGACCTACTCAGCTGGCCGTACACCCTTGCGCTACCAGAAGTATGAGTAGAGTGAACTCTGTATATTCACATACTTCTGCGGCATTCCTTTGCGAAGGAGCGAACCCATAAGGGATCGAAGGCTCCTTTTAGGTCAAGGAACACGATAACCGTTGGTCGTCGGTGCGTATGGCGTAGCTCGAGGACTTGACTCAAAGTGAAGATTTAATCGATACAACCGCGACCTGGTCGAAATCCTGCATGTTGTTCGCGAATGTTTATCTCCTTAAACGGCATCAGACGTGGAAGTATAATGGAGGCTAGTAACTTGGCGATGATTGGGATCAAACTTATTCCATGGCGGTTTGCGCAGTTATTGCGAGATCCCTTCTTAGAAATTGGAACGATTAGTGATTCGATCCAGGATGATGGAATGCGCTTGTGTAACCAGATGTTACGCATTAAATCAGTAATGGAGTCTACAAGGTCATTGCCACCCCCTCCCCACATCTTGAAAAGAGTGGGAGGAAGCTCGTCTGGCCCTGCTGCTTTTCCTTTCTCCAGGGCTTGGATGCAAGAACGGACTTCTCCTGCAGTAAGAGGTTCAGATGGCAATGCCTATGGATTCTCAGCTACATCGGAGGAGATAGCCTGGTTAGCGCCTGGCCAGCTGACATGTTCGATGAAGTGCTCCGCTTAACGGTCGAGCCGTTGTTCCCTACTGTGAATAGCTTGCCCACTTTTGTCGCAGACTGTCTCACTAACTGTGGTTCGCCGACCTCCCGTATTGCGTATCAGTTGGAACAGTCTCTGACTATTCCCCGATGCAGCTGCTACTTCCATTTCACTAGCTATTGTTGCCCACCAGGTCTCACAGTCTTTCTTGAGGCTCCTCGTGAGGTGACGTTGTAGGCGCCACCTAGCCCTACCTTGATCCCGGGTGGTTGGGATTTGCCACTTTTTCTCCATCAGTGCTACTGACTCATCAGATATACACTGCCTTGGGCGGGCTACTGCTTCAGATCCACATACAACATTCGCTGCGGAGTGCATTGCTCGGCTAATCTGATCTTATTGTTCATTTACACTACCACCCGCGGTGTGGTTAGCTCTTGCCCTAGTTCTGAGTCAAAACGGGCACGAACGGCTGGGTCAGATAAGCGATGATCTGCCAATTGAGTTTGGTGGGATTTTCTGCGACCAGTGAATTGGAGAGTGAACTGCATCAAAACTAACGCATGATCAGATTCAACGCAGTTGATCCAATAAGACCTGCAGTTTTGTACTGAGCCACGACAACAGTAGCTTACTGCTATGTGGTCGATCTGAGTTAGCGTGCCAGTTGAATTTGAGCGCCACGTTGCTGTCCGTTGAGAGCTGTGTCGGAAGTTGGTGCTGCATAGGAACAGATGATGGTCTTCGCAGAACTGAAGAAGTCGATCGCCATTATCTGTCCGCTGGCAGAGCAGAGCACAATGACCGCCTAGGCAAGCTTCCGATGCGCTCAGTTTTCCAACTTGAGCGTTAAAATCACCTGAGAGAACAACTATATCGGAGCTTCGACTCAACCGAATGAGTTCGGTGAGTCTATCATAAAACTCGTCCTTTTGTGCGTCAGAACTGCAGTTGGTCGGAGCATACGCTGAAATGATGAATAAACACCGTTTGGTGTTGCTTCCCTTCCGGACGCTGGTAGGCCCATGGAGCCGCATCGCACATAAGCGGCTGTTGACAGGGATCCAATTGGGTAGTGCGGCTTCGGCTGTATTATTCAGTACAATGCCCACACCACGCTGGCCTACTGAACGGACTTCGTCATCACCTGACGTGCGGAGGAAGAACCTCGAAGACAACCCCGGTGAGCTTAATTGGTATATAGTACTCGGATCCTGGATTCGACTTTCCGACACGCGGCAGACATCAACCCCCAAAGAGTTCATTGTACGCGCCAGACACGCTTGTTGACCTACCTGCATCAGAGT